GGCTCGTCCTCGGGCGGGCGGCGGGGGCAGGCGCGGCGGCACCCCCAGCCCGCGCAGGTGGCCCCGAAGGCCTTGCGGAAGCGGCGGTTCATGAAGCAGTAGATGAGGGGGTTGGCGCAGGCTGAGGTGTAGGACAGCAGGTGGATGAAGGCGATGGGGGTGCCTGAGAGTGCCCGCTGGGCTGCCCGCGGGGCAAAGGCACGCCAGGTGTTGGCGGCGAAGATGGGCAGCCAGCAGAGGAAGAACATGGCCACGATGACCACCAGCATGCGGATCACACGCCGCTTGGCCGCCAGCTGGGCCCCCGAGCTGTTGATGCGGGCCCGGTCCTGCTGCGCTGCCCCCAGCGCCCGCAGCTCCAGCGCTGCACCCGGACGGGACAGCTGCAGGTAGCACCCGTCACCCTCATCGCAGGCGGGCGCTGGGTCCCCCCCAGTGCCATGCTGGGCTGTGGAGTGAGGAGGCACGGTCACGGCCATGGCACCAGGGACACGCTGCACCCCAACACCGCGGGAGCACCCTCCAGGAGGATGGGATGGGGACATGGAGATGGCAATGGCACCATGGGGACATGCTGCATCCCACAGCTACAAGGAGGTCCCTGGGAAAGGGGGGTGTCCCTGAGGAGCACACCGCTGTGGGAGCAGGGGTGAGGGCTCATCCCTGCCTCCCCTGCTAGGGTGGGCACTCTGCTCACACAAGAGTCACCCCCGGCATCACCCCCACCCCATCCCCTCACCTGCCACCTCCCTCTTGACGTCCAGCTCGAAGCGGATGCCGCGGTAGAGCTCACGGGAGATGAGCCCGTATGCCACCGTCATCACCACGCCCGGGATGAAGAAGAGCACGAGGAGCAGCAGGACATACCTGGGACAGGTGTTCCCCGTCACTCGGCATCCCCTGAGGCCCATGCTCGCCCTCCCTCGCCGGGACTCACCAGGCCTGCCGGACGCGCTCGCTGGGCCAGTGGTGCGTGCACTGGGCGGGGGGCGGGCGGGGGGCCGCGGGCCGCGTGGTGCTGTACACGGCATAGGGCAGCATCAGCAGCGCTGCCAGCGCCCAGGTGCCCGCGATGACGCGGCACGCGTGGGACCGCGTCTGCCAGGCGCGCGACTGCAGCGGGTTGCAGATGGCACTGTAGCGTTCGATGGCGATGGCCACCAGGCTGAAGGTGGACACGGCCACCGAGACCCCTGCGGGTGGCGGGGGGCGTCAGTGGGCATGGCGTGATGCGTCAGTCCCCCGCCTCCTCCCAAAGCCCCCTGCCGTATTCCGTGCACCCGTGAGGTAGGGGTAACCCCCCACGTACCCACGGGGGAGAGACAAGCCCCCTCCCCGTGCCCCCGGGTACCGACAGGGCAGGGATGAGACTCCCCGCCGTGCCCCACCCCACCCATGGGGGAGGCACAAGCCCCCGCCCTGCCCCACCCTACCCATGAGGTAGGCGACCAGCTTGCAGACCACGTCGCCGAAGATGAAGGCGCCCATGAGGCCGGGCAGCAGGGTGAAGGGCATGCAGCACAGCGCCAGGAGCAGGTCACTCAGGGCCAGCGACAGCAGGAAGCAGTTGGTGACGGTGCGCAGCCGCCGGTTCAGCGCCAGCACGGCCACCACCAGCGCGTTGCCCCCGACGCTCAGCACGAAGATCAGCACGTACAGCACCACGCGCACCGCCACGTCCAGCTCTGCGGGCAGCGGGGCACGGCGCTGCATTGGCACACCGGGTGCGCCCCAGAGACACTCTGAAAGCACTCCCGAGGCCACCACAGAGACTCTCCCACGGCACCCCGAGGATAGCCCGGTGCCCCCCAGACACGTTCTGAAGGCGCCCCAAAGGCGCCCCAGCACAGGCCCAGGCACTGGGACACCGGGGCTCCGACGTGATCGGCGGGGCTCGGTGGAGACCCATCAGATGAGTGCATCGTTTTCCCCCCGTGTGGCAGCCGCCGGGATTTGGGGTGAACCCCGCCGTCCTCAGCTCAATGCCTTGAGGCTGAGGGACCCTCATCCAGGTGGGTGCCCCCATCCTGCCCACCCTCCGCCTCGGTGCTCACCGGGCGGCGCGGGGACCGGGGACGTCCTGCCCGGAGAGCGGAGTGAGAAGCCGGAGCAGGGGCCCCAGCCGGGGGCTGGGATGGGATTAGGGCTCTTGGTTCTGGTGGAGGGTGGGATGGGGGTGTGCCAGCCGAGGGTCCAGCTGGAGGTCCCGGCCCCGGCAGTGGGGCAGGGGTGCGGGGCGGGCGCTGTCTGTGTCCGTGGCGTCCCTGTCGGGGTCCCCTCCGCCCTCCTGCTGCCACCGGCACAGCCCGCCGTGTTCCCCCAGGCAGCGCCGAGATCCTCATCGGAATCCCTGGGCAGTGCCGGGGCCCCCGAGCCCGCGGCCGGGGCGCGGGGACCGGGGGTGGCGGGTGTGATGAGGGGCACGGCGGGGAAAGGCAGCGGCGGCGGTCGGGGAGCGGCAGAACCGGAGCGCGGGGCGGCGGGCACCGGGGTGGCACGGCGGGACGAAGCGGGGGTGCCGGCGTGCCGGGGAGCGCAGGGCCGGGCACGAAGCGGGGGTTCCTTCCCGGGTCCATCCCGCTCCTTCCCCCCGCCCCCGCTCTCACCTCTGGGCGCCGGGGGCCCGCGGAGGCCCCTGCGGAGGAGGTCGCAGACCGAGCCGTTGGTCCCGTTGCCGGTGCCGGTGCCGGGTCCGTTCCCGGTGCCGTTCCCGGAGCGGCAGAGCATCTCCTGCAGCGACTCGTTGAGAGGCCGGGGGTCCATGGCGGGGACCCCCCCGCCTGCCCCCGCCCCTCCTCCGGCAGGAGGCACCGGGAAGGATCAGGCACCGGCAGGCTCCGGGAGGGACGAGGCTCCGATCCGCTCGGAGCCGCCGGTGGATAAGCGGGGGCGGCGCCCGGCGCGGGGCGGGCCGGGGGCGGGGGGCGGTGGCGGCGGCGGGGGGAGCCCGGGGGGTGCCGGGGGGCGCGGGGGAGGCGGGAACGGGGGGTGCCCGGGGCGGTGGGGACGGGCGGGGCCATGCAGAGTACCGGGAGCGGGGCTCGGGGAGTACCGGGCTGCAGCCGGAGTCCCGGGCGGGCCGGGCAGCCTGCGGGACTCGCCGGGAGCGCTCGTGAGGCACCGGGCGACGGGCGACGGCGACGGCCGTCACCGCGATGTCTGTCACCGCGCCCGTGCGGCTGCCCCGGGACGGCCTGGCGGGGCTGGGGGTCCCGAGCTGCTCACGGCTCCGAAACTCCGTGACCCTGACCCGTCCCCATCCCGGCTCCTTCCTCGTCCCGGTCCCCGTCCCGCAGCAGCAGTGCCGGAGTCACTGACAACAGTGGTCGCTGCGGCGTCCCCACCCAGGACACCCCTCAGCACCGCGGGACTAGTCCCGCGGCACCCCCGCCCCTCGTGGGGCCCTGAGCCCCTGAGCCCCGGAGACATGATGCGCCCCCATGGGTCTCTGTGACCCGGAGGGACCCCGTGCCCTGGGCAGAGCCCGTGCCCTGCTGGCACCATACGTGCCACTGGGACCCCGCGCCCCAGTCTGCCCCTGTGCCCTGGGCAGCGCCTGTGCCCGGAGGGGACCCTGTAACATGGGGGTACCATGTGCCTTGAGGGGAGCCTCTGCCCCCCTGGGGCCATGCATGCCACGAGGACCTCGTGCCCCAGTGTGACCCCGTGCCCCGAGGGGTCCCTGCCCTGTGGGGGTATCGTGTGCTTTGGGAGGACCTTGCATGTCGCTGGGCCCCTGTGCTCTGTGGGGACTGAGTGCCCTGTGGGGCCCCTGTGTCTCGGAGGGGCCCTGCGCCCCAGTGGGACCCTGTCCACCTGCAGAACCTGGTTCCTGGGCAGGACCCTGTGCCCTGTGGGCACCCTGCACCTTGGAGGGACCCTGTTCCCCCGGGGGACCGTGTGCCCTGAGGACAGCCCGTGCCTTGGTAGAAGCCTGCACTCTGGGGGGACCCTGTTCCCCGGTAGCACCCCGTGGGCTGTCGGGCTGCTGCCGTGAGGCCGTTCCTGCCCTTCCCGCTGCCTCGTCCTCCCGCTCTGCTCTGCCCCGCAGCCGCAGCCGTCCCTCGAGGCGCCGGACGCGCAGGGCCGCGCGCAGGGCTCCGGCCTCCAGCTGTGCCAGCAGCCGTGCTGCCCGCGTCTGGAGCCCCTCCAGGGCCACCTCCAGCCCCTGCAGCCGCTGCTGCGCCTCGGCCTCGGCCGCCAGTGCCGCCGCCTCAGCTCCGGTGTCGAGTTGGCCCATGCGCAGCAGCAGCTCCCGGCCCTTGGCTTCCATGGCAGCACGGGCACAGGGGAACTCGGCCAGCACCTCGGCCAGGTCCTCCTTGCCCAGGCAGAACAGGTCCGAGTACCCGATGCTCAGGATGTTGGCCGTGCGCCGGTTCCCTGCCATGTTGCCTGTGGCGCAGGGGGCCGTGAGCCCAAGGGGGCCGCGAGCCCGAGGGGGCCAGGGGCAGCATCGGGGCGCAGCGTGGAGCTCACCCTTGATGTTGATGAGGCTGATCTCCCCGAAGTAGAGCCCCTCGCCCAGCACGGCCAGCTGCGTGACGCCGTCCTCGGCCACCACAGCCAGGCGGCCCTCGCGGATGAAGTACATCTCACGGCCCACGTCCCCGCGCCGGCACACGAACTCGCCGGGCCCAAAGACCTGCGGCCGCAGGCGCAGCACCAGCTGCCGCAGCACGCCGTGCTCCCAGCCGCGGAACAGCCCCACGCGCCGCAGGGCTGCCAGGTGCACGCTGGCGGCCACCTCAGCCTGCAGGCCCTGCGGCAGGTGCTGCAGCACCTCCCACTCGGCCGGCAGCTTGCGCTGCGCCCGCAGGTGCTGGTGCCAGCGCGCCACGCGCCCCACCAGCCGCCCGTCCACGCCCCTCGCCCGCAGGTAGCACCGCACCGGCCCCGCGTCGGGGTAGAAGGCGGAGGTGGCCGAGCTGAGGTTGGCGATGACCGTGCTGATGCTGCCGGTGATGGTGGCGAAGCCCAGCACGGCCAGGAGGAAGCCGGCGGTGAGGAAGAGGAACTCCTCCTCGCGCTGCGGTGCTGGCGTGTCTCCCACCATGGCCAGGACCAGCGTGGAGAAGTAGAAGCTGTGCAGGTAGCGGCGCAGCACTCGGGTGAAGCTGGGGCAGACCCAGGGGTCAGCGCCCAGCCCCAGGCGTGCCGACAGCGCGAAGTAGAGGCAGCCGTGCCAGTGGATGCCCAGCAGCAGGTACAGCATCAGCTTGGCCACGCGGAACACGTTGGGCCAGCCCGTGCGCGTCTCGCACCGGTCGAAGGCCTCCAAGAGCCGCGGCAGCCGTAGGCAGCGATTGGCACGTGCCGCCGGCACCCCCGGGACCCTCGGGACCCCTGGGAGCAGACAGAGCAGCTCGGTGGGCAGCACGGCCATCACATCCCAGGGGAAGGTCCAGGAGCCCAGATAGCGCCGCTGCGTCCGCCTGACGTCCTGCACCAGGATCCCGTCCTCCAGGAAACCTGAGTGGGCAGCCAGGGCAGCCATGGGCTGCGGGGCATCCATGCCTGGAGGGGCCGGGGCTGCTCACCTCCCTGTGCGTCAGAGGGCTCGCAGCAGGGAGCGCGGGTGCCCAGAATGGGGCACAGGAGCCCTGCATGGGCACCCTGGGGGTGGCACTGGGGCTCCCTGGGCTGCCATGGGGCTGAGGGGTGAGTGGTGGGTGCCGGGACTCGAGACCACCCACCCAGACATCCTCTGTGTGGGGCTGGGTGGTGTCTGTACGGGGTGGGAGTGCACATGTGTGTGTGTGCATTTACACACCTGTACACGTACATGCTTGCATATGTGTGTGTGTATGTACACACCTGCACGCATGTGTACACACATGTACGTCTGTGTCTTGTGTACCTGTGTGTATGTGTGTGTACACATCTGTGTATCTGTGTGTACCTGTGTGTCTGTGTCTGTGTGTGTACACACCTGTGCGTCTATGTGTCCGTGTGTACGTGTGTGTGTGTGTGTGTGTGTGTGTGTGTGTGTGTGTGTGTGTGCCCGTGTCTGTGTGCACACACACCTGTGTGGAGGTGCACGGCCATGTCCAGCAGGTACAGTGCGTCGCTGAGCCCGTCCAGGACCTGCCACAGCCGCGCGTGTGCCTCCTGCACCTCGGGGAAGCAGCACCTGGGATACAAGTGGCATCACGAGGCATCACTGGGACGGGGCCAGGACACCCCACACCCTCCCCCAACCCTCCTGCCTGGCACCTGAGGATGAGGACGACCCAGTTGTAAAGGATGGGCAGCACCATGAGGCTGATCCACCGGTAGTGCCAGTCCCCGGCGGGGTCCAGGCTCCAGTTTCGGGGGGCAGCAGTGCACCTGGGGGTGCAGAGGCACCTGGGCTCACTCCGTCCCGGTTTGGGATCCCTCTGTCCCCGCTCAGCCGCGGCTGCCAGCGGCTCTAAGGCTGGGCCAGCCCCTCCCCAGCTGTGGAGCGGAGGGGTCCCTGCGGTGCCCCGACCCCCGCCCCACTGGAGGCAGCCGTGCCCCGCTCACCCCGTGGAACGTCCGGTGCCGCTGCCGGCCCTGCCCGTGGCCATGGCTCCAGAGGTGACGGGAGGGAGCCGAGGGTTCCGGTGGGATCCTTCACAGCGGGGGATCCGCGCGTCCCGGTAGCCGGGGCTCCTGCGCACCGGAGCGCCTGCCAGGTGCTGCCGCGGCCCCGGTACCGGGCGTGGTTCCTCAAGGGGACCCAGCCACGCGGCTCCTGCGACACCGGGCGTGTCCTGGCAACGAGGGGTCCCCAGGGTGCCCACTGCCCCCCGGGACACCCGGGCTGACACAGCCACCGTGCCAGGCCCGCCGGGCACGCCGGGGCACGGAGCCGTGGCCAGGGGTGCCGGGGCTCAGGTGAGCCGCCAGGAGCAGCCGCCGGTGCCAGGCGGTGCCTGTGCAGGGGCGGCGGCAGCAGCTCCCAGCGCCCGGTACGGGGCTGCCTGGCACAGGGTGCTCGGTACAAGGTTATCTGGCACGAGGGTGCCCAGGGCCAGGGAGAGCCCGTTTCTGGGCTTCTGGGGGGTCCCGGTACCGGGGTGCCCGATTCTGAGGTGCTCAGTTCCGGTAAGTGCAGTGTGCGGGGGCTATTCGGTGCAGGGTTACCCGGTACTAGGGTGGGCACTTACGGGGGGTCCCAGTACGGGGGTGGCTGGGCCAGCGGGATGCCCAGCTCCGAGCGGTGCCCGTGCTGGGGCTCTCGGTGCCGGTGTGCCAGCACCTGGGTACCGGGTTAACGCTGCCGGGCTGTCCCGGTGCCGGGGTGTCTAGTACCGCGGGGTCCCGGTACTACCGTGCCCCAGTACAGAGGTGTCCCGGTACCGCAGGGTCCCGGCGCCGGGCTGTCCCTGTGCCGGGATGTCCCGGTGCCGGGCTGTCCCTGTGCCGGGATGTCCCCGTGCCGGGCTGTCCCTGTGCTGGGGTGTCTCGGTGCCGCGGTGTCCTGGTACCGCGGTGTCCCGGTGCTGCAGTGTACCCGTGCCGGGCTGTCCCGGTGCTGGGCTGTCCCGGTGCCGCGGTGTCCCGGTGGTGCCGGGCTGTCCTGGTGTCGCGGTGTCCGGGTGTCCCGGTGCCGGGCTGTCCCAGTGTCCCGGTGCCGCCTGTCCCGGTACTGCCTGTCCCGGTGCCGGGCTGTCCCGGCGTCCTGGTGTCCCTGTGCCGGGCTGTCCCGGTGCTGGGCTGTCCTGGTGTAACAGTCCGGGTGTCCCGGTACCGCCTGTCCCGGTGCCGCCTGTCCCGGTGCCGCCTGTCCCGGTACCGCCTGTCCCGGTGCCGGGCTGTCCCGGTGTCCCGGTGCCGGGCTGTTCTGGTGTAACAGTGTCCGGGTGTCCCGGTGCTGGGCTGTCCCGGTGTCCCGGTGCCGCCTGTCCCGGTGCCGCCTGTCTCGGTGCCGGGCTGTCCCGGTGGTGCCG